CACCAAGTGGTGTTGTCAACCACTTTACTGTGGTTTCTGGTCAGAATGGCAAATAATTCAGCAAGCATTTAGTGATGTATCAATGTAACTCCTAGCAAGAGTGCATTATAATTGACAAAGTTGAGTAAATTTGAAAACAATTCAGAAGCCATGTCCAATGCAACAGCTGTACCTAGTAATTAAAAATGCACACAATATACTATAAATCACCTGTGAAATATACTCAAAAGAATTACGTATTTCATCAAAATATAACACACAAACATTAAAAAGGCCGAAACTGCAAAACAGAAACTTTATTCGCAAACTGTAGACTTCAGTTCCTGTTCATGGAAACACATGGATATTAAATTATCTACTGGAAATCTTCACCAAAATCCCCAGTTGAAAAACAATTAGAGGACTATATAAAAAATCTCTTTCTGAAATTATTGACGGCCAGAACTACAAAGGTCACATAAATTTTGTTTCCTTCAATGTGAAGATGTATTAGTATGTAAAATTTCATAAATACATCATTTATGTTGCATTTATTATCTCTGAAAAGCTGGTGAGGAAACATCTAAGTAAGGATCTGAATGTAGCCATACATTTAGGGCTTACAGTAACATGTAACATTTTTGTATTTTTTGTATTTCTTAATTTATATTTTTTAATCTAATATTGAAGTAGACTTTTCAAAATACTAATACTAAAAATACTAAAATAAATGTTATTTACAGAAAAATATCAAATTTTCTCATTACAGACTTAAGAAACTCTTCAGAATATCTATTTGCTTCTTTGTCTCCTTTTTCTTTTTTTTTCTCCTGTCACTGAGAACAATTGTATGAGATCAAGTATCTTTGTTCCTTAGGAGATCATCTGCTCCTGCTGCTCATTTACCATCTGAAATCATAATCATCTGTTGCTGACAATCTAATCATCTTCACAGTAACTAATTGTGATGTCACAAACAAATGGTTATGATTTCAGGTGGTGAACAAACAGCAGGAGCAGATGTAGTCTGAAGAACAAAGACTATAAAGTCATGCACGAATCCCTAGTAATAAAATGTTAGGCAAGAAAAACAAAGAGTCTGTCCTCTACAGAGAGGTAAGATTGCTCTGAATGTGTTGTTTGTTTTTTTTTTTAAATTATCAGTTTTTCAGTACTTTGTGACTCCCAAAATTGTAAGAAATAGGTAAAGGAAAACTATACAATGAAAAACTGAAGTTGGGAAACACCTAAAAACAGTTATGGTAATTTTTTCCTCTTTGAATTATAATATATAAAACCAGAGTTACACTTTACTTTTATTTTTATACTGTTCTTCATAGCTTATCTACAGAAGACATCTCCCAGAAGACAACCTGTATGATGTTTGTGATTAACCCATCCAGAAATACAAAACAAAGATATGTTCCCATGAAAATGCACTTTGTAATAGGATTGTTTATTTGTTGCATGTTTTGTTTTTGTTGATAACTGCTTAAGTCAAATCAAGAGAGATAAATGAGATTCTGTTTACAGTAAACATCTTCTGTATGGGCTGCAAATGCTTCTGGTCTGCTCACAGTCTCTCAGCCTCTTCCAGAAGCATAAGGGAAAAAAACTCAATGTTCTTGACATTTCACGTGTGAAGAATGTCAACGATATCCTAAACCAAGAAACCAATAGCTTTATGTTTCATCTTTCTTTGAAACTGTGAAATGAAAAAGAAAGGTAAAGAAGTAAACCTGTGGGAAGAAGCTTTGCCAGTGAGTAGGAGGAACAGAACTGAGGTTTGCCACATGGATAATGCAAGAGTAACATGATAGAGGGCAGCAGGACAAGTAAATTTTCAAGAATATTTAATAGGAAGATACAGACTGTAAAGTATTTCTCAACAAAAACAAGTGACATTGTAAGAGTACAATGGAATCTGTTCTTCAACTAAAATATAGAACTGTTATGATTTTGTTTTCTATTGTACTGAAGTTTACAAATTCCCTTTACTATTCCAGCTTTATTTGACTCGGATGGAAACTCAGGGAATTAGGCACACAAAGAAATACTATCTATCTGCAAAAGGAAACTGATGCACAGTACCCTGCCCTAGCAGGACACAACTGTTTTCCTGGAATAAAATTACTTGAAATATGAATAAAAGCTGCCAAGAGGTAGATGTAGCAACCTCAGAGCCTCAGATTTTCAAGACCACTGAAAGTTAGGTTTATGGTAACAAGAAATACAAACTATTCATTTCTCTTCTAAGAAGGATACAAAAGGGAGAAAGCTGCTCCATTTGCCCTCTTTTAAAGCTTTCTAACTTAAAAAAATTACTTTAAAAATTCAAGAGTAAATTCACCTACCAAAAAGTGTTGATCTTAAAAATAAACTAACATATTCATACCAGAAAGGATGTGACATTTTTGATCTAAAAGCGTGGAACTTGTTTGGAACTGCCTTTAAAAAGCCCTGCACTTCACAGGTGCATGAGAGATCATGCACAAAAGTGATTACTTTTATTCAGAACACCCTGGCAGTGCTCAAAGTCAGGCTGGATAAGTACTTGAGCAATCTTGTCTAGTGAATGGTGTCCCTGCACATGGCAGGGGTGGCTGGGACTAGATAATCTTTAAGATTCATTCCAATCCTGTAACATTCTATGATGCACTTTAATCACCTATTATTAATGTTGCCTCTAGATGGGAACACTCAAAAAAAGAGGTTAAGAGATTAAGAACAGTGATCTCTGAACAAACTCTCTATGTCAACTAGCATGCTACCTCTATCTCCTTTGACTTACAATTTACTTGTAGATCAGAAGATTGGAAATGAAGGCATTGTACATTACAAAAGTGACCTAGAATGAAAACCTGTTTCTGTACTGTGGCTCTGGTGGCTGCAAGAAGGTATGTGAGCAGGTCAATCTGTGAAAAATAAGTTATTTGGTCAGGCCAGCTTTAAAATATAATTTCTGTTAATCTTGTCTCCTGTTGAATGAGTTTGCCTTTGTGTTCTCCTTCTAGATTGGGATTTACAGTGCAACTATCAAAGTTGTCTAGGGCAGTCTAAGAGATTGTTTTATCTTGTTGGTTTAACAGAAGATTGTGGTTTCATCTAGAAGTGTCTTTGCTACAAGACACTGCAAGGACAGGAGAAAAGTTAGAGGTCTTATTCTGCTGTCTCAAACTCTAAAATGTTAACATTTGAAGATATTTCACTGGCCTTATCCTCAAGAGATTTTGATGATACAAACACAAATACCTTAAAAGTATTGATAGGGGTTGATGACAGGGCTGTAAGGAAGCAATTAATAGGAAATCTTAGATCCTGTGGAATACTTCCTGTCAGGAAACACAATGACGTGCTGAATCCAAGATCACTTTAAACACTAGCAAACTGTTGTGTAAATTGAAGCACAAATTATTCCTCTGGTCTCTGGGTCACTCTCTGGTGACTGGGAAAACCACGTATATAATGGAACACTACTGAAACTCCTTAAATCTGCTTTTAGGACCATGTCTTTCAGATGTATATAGGCAAAAAATAAAAGGTAGCTCATGTGTGTCCATGTCTGTACAGTCCTTAGTTGAGGGAGATAATGTCTGGGACCCTTAAAAAGTTCAAAACTATACATGGTTCTACAGAAAAATCTGAGGCTCATGAAAAAGTGAAAAAGTATGGTTTATATTATCTTTACCACTTTAATCAGCAAAAATCTAATTATAAACTCACGAAGTTCTGTCCTATTCTTTACTGTTGCAGTGAAACTGAATTCAGTCTTTACCAACAAGGTTTCTTGGGCTTTTGTGTCTTATAGACAAAGCTCAAGGAAGAGAGGAACTACCAGTAGCAGAACCTCATCAGAATCAGGGATGTTGTGACAAAACCTAGAAGTCAGCCCATACAAATCACAAAATCTCAGAACTGCATATTGGGTCAGGTTCTGCTCAATCAGGGTCATCCCAGAGCATATGGCACAGGATTGTGGCCAGATGGTTCTTGAATATCTCCAGTAAAGGAGACTCCATAACCCCTCTGGATAACCCGTTCCAGAGCTCTGTCACTGGACAGTGAAGTTCTTCCTCATATTCAGGTGGAATTTCCTGTGCACCCATTGGACCAAGTGGGAAATATCTTAGCGTGCTGAGTCAACCAGCTTGCATCATTATGAGGCCACTCTCTGTTCTCTTCAAAAAGTCATGGAGATCAGAAGAAATCTCCAGTGCCTGGAGAAATGCATTATACTCAAAAAAGGCAGGCTGGTCAACCTCAGTCTGGTCTCTGGGAAAATCACGCAGACCTCTTAAAGCCATTTGTGGGCGCACAGTGTGATTGTCTTCCATGATAAAGTGACTGGTTTTATGAATGGAGAGCATTCATTTTATGAATGGAAAGTACCTTGGCTTTAGCAAGGATTTTGACATTGTGTCTCCCACAGCATCCTTGTCTCTAAGCTGTGATTTTAGAGTCTAGGTAGATAAATTCCTAGATAATGGAAATCTGTTGGGACCCAACAGCAGCCTTCCAGTATCTAAGAAGAGGTTGTCAGAAAAGATAGAGCCAGGCACATTACTGAGGTACATAGCAGAAGAACAGGAATGATAGTCATAAACAAACAGAACACGTTCTGACAAGGATAAAATTGGAAAAAAAATCAGTGTGAAGAGACTTAAGCACTGGAACAGGCTACCCAGAGAAGCTACAGAACCTTCATCCCTGGAGAGCTGTTAAAAAGCCATAAGCAACCTTAACTCTGCACTGACTGTGCTTTGAGCAAGCAGTTTAGGTGACCTCCTAAAATCCCTTACAAACTGAAGGATTCAATGATACAATTAGTAAATAAAAATTTCCTTGTTCCTGCACTTGTTCATACCTACACTCACACACAGGACGCTCAGGGATTAATTTGTCTAATTGTAATAAAAACCCCAAAGTATTTACCAAAAGCATTTCAATTGTCTTGGATAATCCAAATCATACAGAGACAAGGAGAAATAAGTATCAATATGAATTTATAAAGCAATACTTACTGTTACTTGTTGGCTCAGGAAACCCAACATTTTGGCCATTCCAACTTTTGTTTTCTCCAAGCTGAAACAGATAGAAAAAGACAAGTAACTAAAGAGCAAACTACTCCCTAAACAGAGCATGCCTGTTTATAAGTTTAGTTGTAAGCCACTAAAAATGATGAGTTGAGATTGCCGCATCTGTTCACAAAATTTTGCTAACTCATCTTAATTTTTGCCTAAGATAGGTTATTTGAGTAATGTACCCTTCATGAGTAAACATTAGCAACTATTGCCTAACACTGAAATATAAATGTTTCCCCAAGGATTAGGTTCAACTCAATATGTTACCAAATCAGACTTAAATAAAATTAAATGTTTTAAGCAGCTCTCAACTGAAAACATAAACAGCCAACAGAGAAATTACGTTCTAAGATCCTAATTACTGCCTATGAAGGAATGTGTAAACACTATAAAGTACTTGGGTGTAATTTTAAAATATTTACTTGTTAGGAATCAATTTAGTCACTGAAGTGGAAGTAAAAATTATTGCAATTTTCCATTATTTTAATATATTTTTTGAGGAAGCAAATTGTCTTCAAATTAATTTTACTATGTTTAATACTGGGTATTACTCTGATATGGAAAAGGGGAACAATTAACACAGAGGTTCAAAATTAAGCCAAAACTGAGGTTTACACAGTAAATAAGATGGTAATGTTCTAGGTTTATGTATAAAACTGGATAAACAAGTCCAACCTTCCTCATTACTTAGGAGCTATTGACAACCAGCTCTATGAATGTGAAATGAATGATCCTTTTCAGATTTCACTGTGATGTTCTATGCAAACAGAAAACCTCACTGCAATGCAGGCTATATGCCAGAACAAAGTTGTAATCATTCGCTCTTGAAGATGGGGTTGGAAAGTCAAAGAAATGAGAAGAAAAATCAACCACCTGAAACCTGCCCCTGCATCTCAGAAATTGCGTTAAGGCTGTTTAGATTGCTACCATGTCATAATATAGACTACTAGATTATACATTTTACTTGGGAAAGAGGAGGGGGGAATACACTATGAAAAGCAGGTACTTCATTGATTGTTTCCCTGCCTTTCATCATCATGCACATCCCAAAAAGCCTGGGCAATGTGCAGTGAAAATGGGAGATATTTGATGGGAAGGGAGGACAGGCATTACAGTCAGCTTTCAAACTGGTCACCTACATCTATGCACTTTAATTTTATATGACTTGTTTTATTCATATTATGAAGCAGGTTATATGTATATTAGATAACACAGGTGACAACAGTACTTCATATGAATAAGCAACATGAAATCTATAAATATGTTTGCATTTACTGCTATAACAACAGCATGGTTTTGTCAGGATTCCATCCTGACCATCTGTAACATGATGCTAGCACAAGCAAACTGTTACAATATGAGATTTCCAACTTTCCTCATTCTTCTCTTTCTTATTGCTTATTAACTTGATCATGATGGAGAATTTAACAACAATCCCTCTATGAGTAAGTGATCCTTAGTACTGCTGCCTCACATGAATGCAATCTACCCTGGTTTTCTTCTTTCCGAGAATACAAGTGGCAAGAAAAAACAAGATGGAAACATGAAAAAATTATTACAACTCTCCATTCTCATCCATAAAGCTAAAATTCTGACAACTGCAAAATATCTCCCAGCATACCTCCAGATTGCTCTCCTCAAGGCTCTGCACAACCATTACTGACTTCTTTCAGGAATCAGTTTAACCCAGAAAAGAGCAGAGCCTTTACTTTTTTACATTACCTGGATTACTTGTGCTGCCATCAGCACTACACATTGCTCTTATAACACTCTTAGGTCTCCATTAAACCAATAAATAAAGTCACTTTTTATGTACAAGGGTTAAGGGAAAAACCCACTGAATTTGGTTTTGTTTATTTTTTAAGGGAGGAGGAATGGAATGAAAGGACTTGAGGAAAAGGGGACAGAGGGGAAAAAAGAATTGCCTTTTTTAACATCATCAAAAAAAGCATACAAGTGAAAATTATCTACTTAGATGCCAACCTGCTACATCAGCTAATCTACACTGGGACCCATTTTGGATTCAAACAGTGAAACAAGTATCTTCTAATGGTATATCTTTATTGTGCATTTATATGCAAGGAATTTTGCAATGCTCGCACTGGTAGAGATCTAAGGGCTATTTTCCCTCTTCTCCACCACAGTTTAGTTTGAGAGTTAAAATTCTTTCAGCTACAAAAACTAACTTGTGCATCTCCAAATATGTCCAGTCTGTTATATACAGAAGATAAAACCAGATGCTCTAGATATTTCATGCCCTTAAATCTCAACAAAGCTTTAAAAATTTGTTGTGATTTTGTTATGATACTGCCATTACAGTGCCACTACCGAAGTTGAGTACTTCACATTTTTTGGATACAGTAACATATTTGTTCATTGTGTTCAGAATAATATTAAGCAACTGTACACTTGTCTACCTATCCTAAAATGTCTACATCTGGAAGTATGCAATTAAGCCTGATTTTCTAAAGACAATGCACTTGTAAGCAATAGCTTAATAAATGTAGGGAAACAAAGCAACAGCATCCCATTTTAGCCACTCAAGTTTTTTGGTAAGGATTTCAATGTAACCACAAGTTTACACTACGTAGAGCTCTCCAAATCAACTATGTTGTAGGCTGATTTTTTTCAGGCTTTATCTCTGAAAAATACTGAGTAAAATTAGTTCAACTTATTTAAAATGCAAGAATGAAAACCTGTTTTCATATTAGAAGAAGAAAAAAAAAATTTCTGTTTTGACTTGTTTTTTTTGTTAAAGCCATTTGGCCAAATTGGCAGTGAAGAAAAAGTTGATTGTTTTATACCACAGAGAGTATATTCTACAGCAGAAATGTCCCAGCATTCTGGTGAAAATTAATTATCATTTGACTCAGTCAGAAGCTTTTTTTAAAATGGCTGTGTCTGCACAGTGTGTTCTCACTAGGAACATCATCCAGCTTCCAAGTACTCTGTTTAGAGTATTTCACACTTGTCTATGACTAAGACATACAGTGAAGAACATAGTGAAGGTGAGTGTGAACAGCACACATTGCTGCTACTCTCAAAGGAGAGTGAAACAAAAGAAGGTGGGGCCAAGTAACCAGTACAGTATTACTTTTTTTCCTGGTTAGGAATACAGAATATACAGAACAGGATATCTTCATATTTACATATACATAGATGTGTATATATACACTATATTCAGATTTATCACGTAGTCCTAGAAAAGCCCAACAGAATTTTCTGTTTGCTACCTAGTGCAGCCACAGTAAACATATAAGTAATTATCAAAACATATACATGCAGTAAGCCTGTATATGACAGAAGCTGTTTAGGATCCATAGCTTAATTACCTTACCAAATATCTTTTCAGAATACAAAAGGCAAAACTTTAACACCCTATTTTTTACAATACTCCTCATCAATGAATTCAAGACAGGAGAGGAGTGCTAAGTTAAAGATAGCTAACGTGGAAATACATACTTCCAATGCATAAGAATTTAAAATGCAATTCCTTCTTCATTAAAAAAACAAAACCTGACACACATTTTCTTAATCAGTCATCAAATGTGAAAAGGCCATTATTTTTCTGTAATGCTTTTCGTGCACATGCAATGGGAAGATAAACATTGACTACTACTTCATATATGAAAATTACTAACGTTTTTCCTTTCCTTCTGTTCCTTTGGGCTCTCGTGGATGCCCAAACTGGAATAAAAGCAAGAGGCACATTCATCTTGATTTGTAAGTAGAAATAGGCGATGGATCACATGTACACTTTTGCACACACACTATTCTATGGAAATATTTCTGTTCCTAATTACTCTCACAGGAGCAGAGGCTGCACTTACTACTAACTGTAGTACAGCTGTACAGCTGTAGCTAAACAAAGGCTAATCTGTGACAAGCACCTCCCTAAAACAGGCCGTGCACAAGCTTAAGCTTCCAGTCTTACTAAGTGATTAGCTGATACAGCTTAAAAATCTAGACAAGGGTAAAGGGTGGGCATCACAACAATTGGTTCTCTCACCTTTTCTGTCTGGTCTTGAAGAGGAGTAGAGGCTTTGTATCCCAGCTGTAGCAACATTGCTTCTGCTGCATTTCTTTTAGCTATTTTCTTGTTTGGACCTGTTCCAGTAGTAATGTCATTGCCTACTTTTACCTTTAAAAGAAAATATTGATCATAATCATGATAAATGCAAGACTCCTTAATGTCACTGTATAACACTCTTGCTGTTCTACCAACAGTTGTCAGCTCTTTTGATGAAGACACAATCTTGAAAAAGCTACAGTACGGCAAAAGGGGACTACAGTGTTCACTTAGAAGGACTGTTTAGATTTTTCAGAAGACCACCAAACTCATACCCAAGAGCTACATTTTTCTGCATCTCAATGCATACACAATTGTCTCTCTCTTCCATCAGCCTCTGTGTCACCCCCATTCTCCTTCATGAACCTCTCCCCAACTCTGTTAACATGGGAGCTGACCCAAGGTCTGTACTTCCTCTTTCTTGTAGGAAGGCGTGGTGCCTGCAGCAGCTCCCCAGCATCACCAGGAAAGTATACAGAATACAGTATATAAAACAATGGAGAGACAAACAGACTGGAGTTTTAACAAGAGCGGTTTCTAAAGAAGGGTGAAAATTGTATTTGCATTCCTGCCACTTTGTTGTACTGCAAGAAACACAGGGGCTGGAACTGCTTACACCTGACCAGCTTTGATCCACAGTCCTTGGAAAAAAGGCTCCTCAATGGACCTGTGGTCTGCACAGTACAAAGGGTTTCTGACAAACATGATGCCTTTCATAACTCCAGGAGAAATTAAAACCCCAAAATAAGGACAAACTGTAGGCAATGGATGTTCACAAAATGTGTGGCTCCAACTTAATCCTTGGCTTTAAACTTTAAACTTCAAACTTTTCTTTAAACTTTTGGAGCCGTATGTGTTGGGTTTGTGACATGAGCACTCTCACTGCTATTCATTTAGACAATATTCATAGCTCTTTGATGGGTGTATTTGGCTCGGTCCATTAAGCCCTTCTATTTGCCAAATTGTGTCTTAAAACAGTGCACAGCTTCAAAACCATGTCAAAAAAAGGAAATCAACATCACATAAATATGATAAAATCATCAAGGTGACCTGAATAACAAAAAAAACCCCAGAGGTCAAAGACCTGAAAAAGTTTGGAAGGAGCTTTTAAAAAAATGTAAAAAAAGGCATACAAATGCTAAATAAAGAATAAATTATATTTAGTAGTTTATGTCATTCAATAATTCTTCACTTTCCTCAATTTACCATATATGTATTTTTCTAAAAGTTTAAATTCTTCTTTACTCAAATATTTCTTAATTCTAAATATTAAGAAGAGGATGTAAATAAATAATAATCATGAATATCCTTTCAAAGTACATATATATACATGATACATTATATATATATATAGCTAAAAAATTTGTCAGCCTAAGCCAAAAATATTAATAATCTTGAAATATAAACCTTATCTTCTATGCAGTTCACAATAACAATTAGAAAATAGCCAATCTGCTACAAGTTTGTATGCAATAAAATTGAGCGATTTTAATGGGACAAGACAAAAAGATAATTTATAACATAGCTCACAATAAATCAATATGCTGCTATTTCTCAGACCTGTAAAACTGGTTTAGCTATTATTATAACCTCTATCAAGGATTAAAGGCCTCACTACAAAGAGAAAGAGCTTTCTGAAATTAACTTTGGGAACAGAACACCAACTAATGTCATCAGAGGTTTTCTTCTGTTTATCTAGTAGCCAGGACAAGTAATTGGATCCATTTCATCACATCTAAACTTGCTCTTTGTGTGACAGATAAAAATGAACATATTATCTCTGGATATTTTACTTCCACATTCAATTAAATTAAATGAAAACATGGTTTAAGTAGTTTATACAAAGGCTTTTTATTCTGATAAGGTTTTCTGCATGACATAATGAATCCACTGAGACTTCCTGAAGGTGGGATAAATAGCAGAATAATTTTAGTGTGAAAATATTACAGAAGGGTGAAAATGGAGTTTTAAAGTATTTAAAGTATTTGTAACAAAGCAACTGCTCTATGGAGTTTAACTCTTTCACAAACCTTCTTAGATACAGGAATCTTCTACATATTTACTGCTTTTAAGATTCTTTGTTATACAAACCAAAGACTGCCATTACTGACACTCCTCCAACAGAAAACTAAACTTCCAGCCCATCTTCCTAATACTGGGCTGTGTTACACTGTTCTTCTGAGGCCTCACACAACAACTACCAACTATAAACCGTCCCATGGGGGTCTAAGCCTGGGAAATGAGATCTTCTGTGATAGGAGCACTCTTTTTCAAATACTTTCAGGTCTCATAAAATTTTAGAAATCCAAGTTTATATTAAACAAATGATTCTGCAACAAAAGGAACAAAATACTTTCTTTTCCTTCCGAGAGAAAAATAAAAAATCATGAAGAAAGACCAAGAGGTCCAAGAAAATTAAGATTACTAGCTTATCTTCATAGACATGAAGGAGGAACTAAGATGATTTAAGTGAAAACATAACTAATTTTCTGGAGAATGAGGTGCTGGAACATCATAAATTATGCTTGTGATCAGAAGTGACATTTTGGTGTGGTTTGTAGACAACAAGTCAAAACATGCTGAGGTATGCTGTGCTGACTTGTTCCGGCATAAAATTACCCTTGAGTGAAAACACAAGAATACAGAATCCTTTCCTGTTTCTAATCTTTCTCAACCTGCTGGTGTGCTATCTAACAAAATATCACAGTTATACCAAATCCTTGTACATGTTCTTAATTTAAATTTGAAAGGAATTTTAATGATTTACTGTTTCAGTATTAGGTCCAGTCAGAGCACAGTCTAAAATGCGTTGTTGGCTTTTTTGGTTGTATTTTAGATAGAAACAAAGTCACAAAGAAATTGGAAATCTGCAAAAATTTACAACACTATTTTTTAAAGCCAAAATGCCTGGTAATATGGAGATATGAATACCCATATTTCAGAACACTGGGTATTGGGATCCTTGAATTAACACCTGCCCGATTTTATTTTTTTTTTCCAAAAAGACAAGTAAAATAAATAAATCATGAACCATCAGGGATAAAGACAATAACAATCAAGTGAAATAAAAATAAGAGTATAAAATAATGCAAATCACATGAAAAGCATCAAGAGGGCACATAATTCAATTGCCATTTGTTTCACTAAGAGAAAGAAGAAAGTTTAGATAGGCTTTCTGATACTGTATTTCATACTATTCCTGTATATCTGATGGCAAGGCAAAAAGCTAAACAGAAGGAGACCCACTTCATATTTTGCTTGAGTTTGAACAAAACACAGCAAGGCCATTATCTCTAACATGACAGCAAATGATACCTGCATAACAAATTCTCGACGGCGAGGCATTCCTCTCTCTGAAAGAAGAACATACTCTGGCTCCTTCTCCTTTTTGGCCTGTTGGATCTGAGCCAAACGGCTGATGGGATTCATTCCTTGACCATATTCTGGTCCAGTCTAAAGCAGGTTAAAAAGAAAGAACCATTATTTCAGTATATATCCTTATAACTACTACACTGCCTCAATAAAACATTTACAAGGATTCTCTCTTTTGTAATATTCCCTTTGAGAGAATAAGAAGTAACTTACTTTCCATTTTCTGATCGTGAGACAAAAGATAAGAATCCTCAGGCTCAAAGCTGTGGAAAGAAATTGTCTGCCATTGTTGCGGGTAGTGTACCTTGCATCTGCAAGCTATGAAAACTCTCTCCTGTATAGGGAGGTCCTCATAAGGATGGATGAAAATTAGCAGATCCATTAGTCAGTTATATCTTATTGCCCTGTTTCTTGGACCCTTCCCCCTAACCCTTTAAAATAGGTTGTCACAATGCTGGAACATGCAGTACACTGAGACGAGGTGGGATTTACACAGGGACAAAAACCTTTTGCCATACGTAAGGAAGCTTTCTCTTTCAGCCGCCTTGCTTTTCCTCTTATCACTCCAGACCTTCAATCCTACAGCACAACTTGCAACTAAAGGTAAAGAGAGTTTACTCTGTGTGTCGTATGAATTTACCCTCAAAATACTCCTGTGAAGTGAATGGCTAGAATTGTTGTGTATGGTGAACCACCCATAAAGTACTTCAAATGATTAACAGGCAATAATACTCACAATAACACATCAAAAAGTGTGGTTGGTGGGGGAATTGATCTTATGCTGGGGAAACAAAAGGACTGACAAAGTGGTCTGTCCAAGATTACACAGACAGGGAAAAACTACAGCCCTTGAGAAGTCTCTAGCTCTGAAATTATTTTAATGAATTATTGCTCACATGGCAAACGGTCTTTCAAAGCACATAGCCATGAAAATATTTGTAGATTTTAAGAAGAAATTAAAACACACAAAAATTTATCTGAAGTCATACTTAACTGACTTATATAGGATAACATAAAGAATGCACTTGCAAATGTAAATGGCATTTAAATGTAGAATTGTTTTTATGTTATGAAGCTATTTCCCTTTTATGAAACCATTTGCAGGCTAAGAGAAGATGAGCACTCATGCTTGCTTGAGTTGCTCAAATAACAACCAAGTGTTCAGGAACCTGAAGAAATGATCAGCAACTGAAGGCAAAGACCAGAGAGGGATATTATATTTAGAAAGCTGTGCAGAAAATCCTACATAGTGTAACTGCTGAAGTAGTTAGAGAAGATGTAGGTGAAAGAGCTAAGACAATGTCATACACAAGGGCAGCTGTGTGGGCAAGAAGCCAGGCAGAGACAAAATGCAGAGCAGGCTAAATAAAGAGCAGGCCATAAGATACAGCCTCATAAATATATATATACAAATAAAAAGAAGTTACTGTTGCCACTTTTTTTGATGCTCAAAACACAGGCAAGTTAAATTGAAAGAAATAGGCACATTGAAAGCATTTCAGAAGTTTGGATGTTCAAAAAATAAAAACCATCTACATATCCAGCTTATTCTGACAAATAATGTTTCTTTCTGACAAGGCCAACTGTGTATAATTAAATTTAAGTTCGTAATGGCAAATGGTATATGGTAATATAAGAGATTTTTTCATTATTATACCATTAGCGTCTTTCTTGAGAAAAACTTTCCAAGATGTTTGGTGAAAGCCAAAGCCAAAAGCCTTTTCCAATCTTCCAGCTTTAAAGCTTCATTAATGCTGGTGGTTTTCCATTAAATTATCTTCCTGCCCATTTTTTCATGTAAGTTGCTGAGAATTAGATCCCCAGGATTTTAGTAGGAGACAGGTATCTAATTAATCTAGGTTTTCCTGAAAAGTCATTTATTCCGTATTGAAGGCAAATGAAAAGAGGAAGGTGACAAATAAGCCTTTTGTACATTTTCCAAATCTAGTTTTGCACTCTCCAATGTATTTGCTTATTTTAAAGTGGTTCTCTGGTGGCTGCTCTTCCAGAACTCTGTACTTTGTATCCTGAGTATACAGATACCTAATGATGAAACTTTCAGTGAAGTACTGAAGCACTAAAGTAGCACCCCATTACTTTACTGTTTCATGTATCGCTCTCCTTCCTCAAACTGGGGAGGGGAGAGAGCCCAGGGAGAGAACCACTAGATATGCTAAAAGGAATTCTCTGAGATGATGCTAAAATTTCACATGGCTGGACAGAGCTGCTTGGAGGGCTTGATCCTCCACTAGCCTTGAACCAAACCCTCAATGATGTGAGCTATTTACAAGCCATTCTGTTTGAGAATCCCAAAGAATTCTCAGGATTTAAAAAAAGCCCAGGCATATTAGCACAGGCAAACTAGTAACAATATTGACAGTAACAAGCAACTGTAACAATATTGACAGAAAATGACAAATAAGCCTTTATTGGTTTTGAATCTACTGTTCATTTCTGAGCAAACATTCTTAATTGTGTCAAAAGTGGACACATACCTTCAATATTGTTTTTGGACGCTTTTTAAAGTAAAGTTTTGGCTTTTCAATCACAGGAAGAGGAGGAAGTTTCTTAAGTTCTTGCAGGACAGCCATTGCAGCACGTTTCTTTGAGAGTTTCTTACTGTTGCCTTCTCCCTCTGCAGTGAACTCTCCCACTGTAACTCGTGTAACAAAGCTCTTCATGTGAGGAGGTCCACTTTCTTTAATCACCTTTTAAGAGAAAGTAACACTGAGTCAAAGCACCCTACAAGACGGTAACTTTACGTTTGTTATCTCTGCAATGAACTTATTACTAGTCCAGTTTTCCTGCTAACTGAAGGCATTAGATGGGTTTTCATAGAAACTGGACAAGTATTAATAACAGTACGAGGTTTGAGGACAGAAAATTAAGACTAGTTAGATAAAGCAAATCTAACAACCATACTCAGCATTTCACAGACAATAAGAGTAGACCTACATTTTTAAAGATTTATAGAATAACACAATATACAACTATGCATATTTAAACCAAGGCCGATGGGTTTTTGTTTTGCAAGGTGCTTCACATACTAAAGCAATTAAATCCATGAAGGTCTACCAGGCTTTGAGTATTTCTTTATACAAAACATATTCAAAACTGTATTAATTTGTCATTACCTCAACCTGTTTGTAATATTTTTTCTATTATCATTAAGCCATTGGATGTTCATAGTCCCAAACTTCAGTCTCAATAGGTGCAGGCAGGATGCCTGCTCTCAACTCTTGGCTTGCCAGAGTACACAGAGCAATATCCCATACATTTGAAAGGCTGGCACATTCTTGCCTCCATGACTCTCAGCTGTCCCTCCCAACTGTACTGAAAAGAGTTACCAGAAGAGCCACCATAACTCACACAAAGCAAATATTTTCTGAAAAAAAAAAATTTATTCATTTCCTTCCAAAACACATTTAGCACAACAATAAAAAAAACCATAACATTTGAACTCCTTCACTACAACAAGTTACAGTAATATGGAAAGGAATTAAGTTCTGAATGCTGTACCTTCCTTTAGCTGTTTTTCTGTCTTCATTTTTACACACACACGCACACACACACACACATGCACACAATCTCCTTTTAGAAGGCTGATGCTTGGATGTATTCCCCCACAAATCACAGCACTGCAAGTGCTAGGATAGCCATCTCTTCATGTATACACACACCATTAACTGGTCTGGACAATGTCTATCAGGAATTAAGAGACCTCATTTGGGAAAAGGTTCAGTTATTTTGTTTGATGGGCGGAAGTAGCTACGTAATTTAATCTTTGTTGTATGTAATATGTATAAGGAGACATTAGAGTATCTGACAGGCATCTCTTTATTATATCTTCAAAATCAATACAAATATAAATTTTTTTTCCATTTGATGGAATTATATCAAACCATGTGTTGAAGAAGAGTAATGTCTCTTTAGGTTGAGGAGGGAGGGGAAAGGGAACTGAGGTAAGGTACCAGGGCCTTCTTGGTGTAATAACTATAGTTTTAATATGCTCAAACCTTCAATCTTAACATTATTACAACATGTTTTGTATTAAAGTTCTTTTTATCAAGGTCATGTCCCTTGCATTATTTAGTTTTGCTGTTGCACTGTAATGAGGTCTCCTTAGGCTTGTATTTCTTTTTAAGTTCTCTTTTGTGGCAACTTCACCCAGCAAATACAATTACCACAGCATAGATCAATAAAAAGACACAAAATTAAAATTAAAAGACAACTTTGCCCCATTTTCCCAGAATAAGATGACATCTATGCCAGAATGGGATTTTTCTGTAGTCCAGGAGTGTTCCCATTCTAAAATTTCAGGTATTAATTTCAGAAGTGTTTTAAACACTGCCTCACTTGAAAGTTGCCCACTAATGCTTGGCCATGAGAAGGCAGCAGTGCTTTCAGTGCACTGAGCCACGCTGAGCCCCAGGATGCTGCATTCCTGCAGCAGAGCTGGGATGAGCCCAGTGCCAGGATCTCCTGCTCTCAGACTCAGTCGGGCGCTGTGTCTGTGCTGAGCACCTTCATCACACTGCAGCGTTTCCTCCTCTGTTTTACAGTATCTCAAACCTGTACTTTGTTACTCAAGTATTACAACATGCTGGCCGTAAAACATTGCTGAATTAACCTTACGAAGGTCCTTAATCTTTCTGTGGCTCTACTAATACTATTATATAGGCATTTGTCTTTACATGCAGTGTAACATACTAATAAAATATACAAGAATGTCTACACTGACCAGATGAAAAAGGAAAAAATAATTTGGTTAAGAAATATAATTGCTGAGTTCCTAAAATATTAGTTTATATAAGTTTCCTCATATTTATAAAATGCACACAAATATATATATATGAGAAAAATAATGTTAATACCAAACCAGATCATATTTTCATATTCACAAAAACATATTTTTTAATATAAAATTAATGCATTCTGATGTGGTTTTCAGCTTTTAAATTTTAAGTATTTTAAGTGACACTTAAGTAAGGTAAATAACTCACTGGAAAACATTAAAAACTGTATGTTTGTTAGCATGTAAATGGAAAAAAGTCTGTGTTGTCAATGGAATGAACCCCATAGGATTCAGATGGGATCTGGATCAAGCTAAACATCCAAATTTGGTAATTAAGCAAAAAAATATTTACCTAACAACATTTTTGGTTAACCCCAGATTTCAGATCTTTTTACTCCATATGATTTCAAACAGTTGTGCTATGAGCCTTGGGACAGAAAACACTATGAAGAAATTCAAGCTTTGCTATCTAAGAACACTATACACATTAGGACATTAAACTATTTCCTCAGTTGAAAGATACGACCTGTGGACCTAATCATGGCTAATTTAAAGCTGAGAATTTGATTAAGGGTGACAGTTCAATACACTTTTCTTTTTCTGTTCCATGGATTTAAAGAATAATTACAGCAAGGGAAAACACATGGGGCCAAAACACATCTAAGGTCAAGTTACATCAAGAATGAATTTGGCTCAACTTAATGAATCATGCTGACAAATGAAAAACAGAAGTATGATTGCAGTGAAAGAGTAACACTGCCTTAATTATTAATGAGATGCCAGGCAGAAAATTCAAAAGATTAGGACAAGATTAAAAGGACATTAAAAAAACCCCTGAAACTAGAGGAGACAAAAATCAGATCAAAACCCATGTCATTTACATCTATGAATACACAATTATTTATAGGATTTTAAAATATCTATATATTTCCAGGAACTTGTGAAGGCAAATACACCAGATTCTCCCAGTTACAAAAATAAAACAATTTTTAAAAAATTAAAAGTAAGAGTCTGAATGTCACAGTGTAAAACTGCAGTGAGAAGGGTGACCATTTTGCATAACCCAACTGAAAGTTACTCAGTAGCCAGTCATGCAAAGCCTCAATCCCCAGGACAGCAGAAGCCAGATAGGTGTGAAACTTCTTGCTGAGAACTACTCTCCCACAGTCTGCAAAACCAGTCCCTGGTTCAAAATGCAGGATCTTTGCTTTACTATGATAAGATTGGGACATAAGAACACTTTCCAACAGACCACTGGACAGGGATGGAGGGACAGAAAATTTTCCTGTTCAGGCACTCTATGCCTTCACTCCTGATACTGACAATGAAAAAAATGTTATTATATTTGCTGTTCTAAAGAAATAACACTGCAATCCAAAGAAAAACATTGAAAATAAAATGGCAATCTGAAACACCCCAATGTGTTCTAATATCTGAAGTTGTTGACCTCAGTTATCTCTTCTAGACTCATCTATTCCTTGCTGAAAAATAAGGAATAAAAAACATATATATTGGAAAAAAAAAAAGAAAAAAGCAAGATTTTAGCCTACTGCAAGGCAGTAATAAGAAGTGGAATGACCATTCTACAGCTACTCTGACAATTCCTACAGCAATCACTTTTGTAGTCATCCTTGAAAACTGTTCACTGGAAACCCCACAAATGCCTTAGAGCAGTTGCATTTTGACTTAAAAGTTGAGGAATTAAAGTTAACTAAGAATGAACAGTGACAAATACGGAGTAAAGCTTGTTCTTTGTTACAATTGAATGTTTTTATGTAACAACTTAACAGATACAAAGGTTTTAAAACTCATCCTAAAGTTCCTAGACAATTAAAACTACCAACACTACATGAAACAGGACTGTTCACTCCTTGTGCAGTCCTGAAGACATGCTTACATAGAACTTTATATATATTTATGATCATTACTTTGTTGCATAACCCAGCACTGTTGGAACACTGGCTAAAGCTTTGTCAGATGAAGAAAAGGCAGATCATTTTATAGCTACCACACACAAAATAAAAGCTAGAAAAAGCTTTGATGCCTGCCTGGAATAACACAAGACCATTAGTAAATAAAATCCTATTAGAAACATCAGATCCTGGGGATTATCCATAATTGCTTAGCAGTTGTATCGAAAAGTAAGCCAGAACCAAGTTCAATCCAAACTCTATTTGAGAATGTCACCTATACTTAGATTTAAAAGCAAGAAATAACACAAAACCTGTCAGGAGAGCAAGAAACTGTCTTTTTTCAATGTTACTAACATTCTTTGGCAAGTGACACATTAGATTTTTCCTTACAAAGTATCTCTGCCTTCACTCTCTCCATACCAAATGCTCTCTCTTAAATAAGCTCAAACAAGAGTGAAGAAGACATTCAAAGCACTACCCCTCTTTTCTTTACAACTTCCAAGCTCCTCTGTGACCAGTGACCATATATCTCCTTACTTTTTAGTGCATTGATTGGTACAGAACTATTCCAAATATTTTTAAATGTTTAAGGTAGAAAACAATGTTTGAAAACTGAGACATTAATGATGAGCTTCCTTTTTGAAACACAAACATATTTCCATTATGTCTGCTCTTAGCTAAGAGTGATTGGCATGTAGTGGCAAACTGATACACCAACAGCTCCAGACACCCCAGTTTTATCCTCTAGATTTTACACTCTCTTAATGTTCTAATTAGTCCATATCATATAGACCACATATATGAAGCATATATGCCTTTGCTATACTGAGGAATTCCTTAGTCATGAACAATATTCTTTGTCTTTCTTACCTACCTTCCGAGGGATTTCTCAGATTTCTAAGAAGGTCCAAATGGCTTATTTGATGTTGGTCAATTCAGGGACATGGGGTAAACATGTCAGTAAACTGCACACAGCACACTGTAAGGCATGCTACAGCTTAGGGGTTTTGATTCTGTTCACATGCAAATACATGCCTATACTTTAAAAGGAAAAAACACTGGAGAAAATAACCATCACCAGTATAAGCACTATCCATGTCTTTCATGCAGGCACAGTTTAAATGTAAAACAAAATGCAGAAAAATAAAATAATAAAAGGCCACTTACATTAGCATTTTCAGAAAAGAAAAGAAAAGAAAAGAAAAGAAAAGAAAAGAAAAGAAAAGAAAAGAAAAGAAAAGAAAAGAAAAGAAAAGAAAAGAAAACGCAGCTTGAAAATCTAGTGCTTCCTACCACAACAATGTTAGATTTTTATAAAAAACTTTGTAAGAACTTTCTCATCGGAAAAAAATTCCTGTTAGTATCACTCATTCTCCCATAGTTACTTCATTGATAGCACTGGAGCTATTCCAAATGCTCTTTATTACTTCAGGTAAACAAAGTTGTCAGAGGTGGGTTCATAGATAAAATCATATGAAACAAACAAAAAAACTAGTGAAAGCTGAAGTAGAAATAGATAAGTGAAACAGAATCAGAGTGGAAGATACTCATGACTTTTTGAAAAGAGCACACTGAAGGTGAAATGTTTCAACTGGAACTTTTCTATCTTATGAATGCCAACAGTTAAAGAAAAGACTTTGGTTAATTCTTTTTAAGATTATTTCCAATCAGATTGAGTGTGGCTACAGATTCTAATCCCACAGTTCTGTACAGAAGATGGTTTAACTGTCTTTCTGCCATCCAAGTGTTTGCAACCAAATATTAGATCTCTCAAACTTCTGAAAGAGCATCTATTTTACCAGTAAAAAGTAATTGTCTTAGACTCTGAAACACTGACAATTTTTTTATAATTTCCAAGAATATGAAATTCATACTTTTCATATAAGAATATTACCTGTGTTGAGTTTTAGTGGTACCTTTTTTAATACTTTCTTAGTTAAATATGTAACCCAGATAAAAATGTAACACATACCTCAAAAGTGACAGGTATATTACGCTTCAAAGCAATTTCAAACACTACGCTGATCTCAGATTTGTTTGCATCTTTATCTTCTTCTGATTCTTTTCCTGTTTCTCCATTCTGAAAATGATGCATAGATAATCATACTACAATTCTTAGAAGATCAACAAAATATCATATCCTTCTCTCCCCAATTTCTCAAAGACATTTTTAGTCTCCTGTCAGGCTGTAAATCAGCATTTGTACATCCGTCTCAGCACCCCATCATCAGACATCTGTTGACTGAAGCCATACATATTGTGCTTATGCTTCATAACATACACATTCATTTATAAATTAATTATAAACAGCAAAATAATGTCTACGGATGTTAGTCTTATTAATGACATGGATAATAATTTTCTGAGTACACACTTGTGTCAAACAGATCCTTTGATCCATTTCTCAGGCTCTCTGTGGGCACCCCTTCTAAGCAAGGAAGAAATCTGTACTTCCTGGAAAGTACAGAAGACTGTGCTTCCCTCAGAAGAAATTCAGTCAATGAGCCCCACACTCTGACTGGGTCACCAGGTTACAGGTGTCCTCAGCAGGTCCAGCTGGTTAATGGCCCCTCCATCAACTTCCCTCTAGGAGTTATGACCAGTGTGAAAAGGTAGTGACAGAGAACAGCTTGCTCGACACAGAACATTATTTATTTATCCATAGGAACATAACAAACAGAGAGGCAAAGAGATAAAAAAACAAAAGGCACATGAAAAATTATTCTGCCTAAAATTCAGCTTTGTTTTACTCTTGAGGTAAATCTAAATTTCCTCACACAACTATTACCACCAGGATCAGTCAGAGTTTTGCCTTTTGAAACTACTGCCTTTGGAGTTTGTCTCCCAGGCCACATTTCCTTAGTTCTCAGAGGCTTCACTTCCAGCTACTTTCAAACTGCAAAGCTCTGAAATACTTCAAACTGGGATCTCTCAACAATCATGTAACCTTGGCCAGACTCCTAATTTTTTATTAGTGGAGGTAAACATCAAAGACACTTGGGCTGAATTAGGTGGATTCCTGCAGAGCTCCCATCTTACATAACAAAGTCTGATCTAAATCTTCAGCCATCAGCATAGCTACAAAATCCAGATACTACAGTTCTAAAACAACATTAAAAAAGCACTAGGTTCTTCACATTAAAATTAAATTGATCAATTTTTTATCTACCTTTTTTAAGCTCTTAATAAATTAATCTTTTAAGATAACACAGGGCCAAAAATCCAGCATTCAGCTACAGCATGCAGACATGGAACACCTTTTGTCTCATGAAATTGTTGCACAATTTTGATTCTGAAAAAAGCCATTTATATGCCTTACATGCCTGATATTGATCTGGAGCTAAATACAAGACAAAATATTATAAAGTTTATAAAACCTTCAGAAAAAAAGGGTGCTGTGAAAAACAATAACAAGGGTAGTTGCAATGAGATTATGTAGCACCTCTAGCTCATTTCATATAATGAAATGTAAAGTACCACTGAAATCAAGAATCTAGATCATTACTTATAGGACAGGCAAAGCATTGATTAGGTTCACTTAGAAAGATCACCAGAACTAAAAGGACAATTAGTTAAAAGTAAAAAAAAAAACCTGGGTATTTAAAGAATGGGATACTACTATTCTGTAAAAAACCTTAGTGAGAATATTACTTGGTATTGTATTCAATTAAGTTTGTGCTTTATAAAGGACACTGACAATCTAAAAAGCTGGCCAAAAAAAAAAAAAAGCCCAAAGTATGAACTACTGATTAGATAAAACAACTTTGCACTGAGACACTATGAAAACAATCAGTTCTATAAAAAGATTCAAAAATACTTTAGAATAATCTGTAAATGTGTACCTGGGAGAGATTTTTGATATCTGTTGGTTACATTTAGCAAACATAAGAAAATACCAATTAATAGAAAATGAAGCTAAGTGAATTCTAGAAGAAATACCTCACAAATTATATTTGAAGTGGAGAATAATCAAACACTGGCAAAATTTACATAATATAATGCCCACTGGACTGTCAGCAAGCCTTGAAGTCAAGAATGTTTAGGTTTTCTAGCAGTACTCTAGTTTAACCAGATATGTATAGTCTAAACTAGAAGCTACAGTTTAAGTTTTCACAATTAATACAAACACATCTGTCCAGAAAATCCCTCATTGTCCCTTCTACCCTTACAATTTAACACCCTGCATATTTTTTCACCAAGCATAGTAAAGAACCTTACAGTGAGTGGAGAAAAAGGAGGATCAAGGCTTAGACCTCAGCACTGAGCAATACATTTCAAGACTGAGGAAGATAAAATATGTTCAGGAGTGTCTCAGGCACTTTGGATTTAAATTTGATCCTCATTCCCACAACTGACACTTTAATTGTAAGGCCTTTCTTAGCCTCACATCTATGAGACAGCAGAGATGCTTTGGCAGATACACAATAGCTCTTTGTGAAAGCACATTCACCAGCAGCCCTGCCCGGTTGGCTGATTGCTTCTTGCTTCTTCTCACCTAATGCTCTTCTACATATTTTTACAATTAGGTACTAGGATGGCAATACTATTTTCAGTGTTATATATGGATATAAGATTTTATCCTTAATTAAGTTTTTTCTAATAAAAGAAAAAAGGATAGCTTGAAATGGAAGAAGAATATACAGAAGACTGCATTAAGGATGGTCATGAAGGCCAAGACAGACCTATATAAGTAACTACTGTGCCACATTCCATGGATCCCATTCCAGTCAAGTTCACTGAGTTACTAATAGAATTACTAGATTGGTACTGGCAGGTCTATCCTTGCTCCCTCAGAAGCACACTGTCAGTAACTGGGGAAGAAAGCTCAACCTCATAATGTAATTGAGGCCAGCCAGAGTATGGTGTGCACTGGCTCTGATCCATGCCCGATGTTTGAGGAGTGATGAATCAACCATCATCCACAGATAACCAAGCTGGTCAGTTGTGCTGAAGAAAATACAGTTTTACTAAGATGGACCATGTCTCATGGTGAGAGCACACCCCACCACTGCATGGTGCTCTGTGTGCACTTCCCATGGGCAGCAGCAGGGAGGAGCCTGAACCTTGACACCATGATGCCCTTAAACTCTATCCCAACCAGTCTCCAGTTCTCTGGAGAGCTACACTCAGCTCTACACAGTGCAACACTTTGTTTTTCCCTCCATTATGATCTCAGCAAAGTGTTACCTCCAGCCTTCTCCAGTCACCTACAGCTCTAACCCATGAAGTGACAGAGGTGTTTTTCATGACAGACCTGCAACCTGTACCCCTTAACCCAAACATAACCAAGCCACAGAGATTTATTTGACTGAGGATTCAATTTAGTCTCCTACCAACACACACCTGCTATTGAGAACCTACAGTATCCCAAGTGGTCTTCAGCTGCTCCCAGAACAAGTACTTGGATTCTTTGAGTGGGAAACATTATTATATTTTTGCTTTCAATTTAGAAAGATTAATCTGAGAATAATTTTTCTGTTCAATATTTTTTAAAATATGACACAACATTTTAATTTTTAAGCAGCAATATGTGCCACTTAAAGACATAGCAGTGAAAAAGAAAGTTATTATTAAAAAAAAAAAAAAAAGGTTTCCTGAAGCACAAGCCACAGACCTGAGGTAATTTTTCTGGAATAGGCTCATTCTGAAGAGCTTGAAGGGCCTTCATTGCAGCATTATGTCTAGCAGCTTGACGAGTCTTTCCTTCACCAAAAAACTCACTGTTGCCAACAGTTAACTGGACATAGAAAATTTTAGGCACTGGGCAGTGATACCTGGAAGGAATGAAAAGAAAACAACAATGCAAGTTAGGAATTTTACCCATCCATTTTATGTAAAATAGAGTAGTATTTGGGGATGAAACATTATCTTTTCTCCCAGAATAAGACCCAGTACTCAAATACATGGACTGTTCCTCAGCAAGGCGGTTGGTAACTGACAGCAGCTCCTATGTGCACACCAGCTCTTCACCTACATTTGCAGAGCTCTGCAATGAGTTCTGTTTATCAGCCCAACAGCCTTGCTCTGCTCTCTTCTTGATTTGAGTCTTGAGAAGATGAAGAATCAAAAATTCCAGTGGAAGCCCTGCCTGGGAGACAACTCCCATCATCATAGCTCAGCTCTGAGGGATAAATAAGTCAGATGACAGAGAATACACCTAGCAGAAATGGATCCTCACTTGACAAATAACTTGTTCATATTTTACAGCAATGTAAGAAAGCCCTGGATTCCAGGATTCCAGGATCATGGACAAAAGCAATGTCCATCACAAAACTAGATTGATTCAAACTAGATTCAATCAAACACAGTACTACATTTTCCTTATTCCTCTTAAAGGATCCTTTTTAAAGTGTGCTCTCTCCACTTTCATCTGTGGACATGAGTGGCAACTTTTTTATATTAAGACTTTCTGATTTTTCATTAATTATGGTAACCCAGTTGGTTCAACTGTAAAACAAAATACAAAGTTTACCAGAAAGCAGCACACTTCAGAGCGAGGCAAGTGTGAGTAAGTACTCTGTCCTCAATGTCCCTGAAATTTGTGCCTAATTCTAAAACTACATTTTTATGGAAAAAGCCAAGCATAACACTGGTTCAAACATGCCTCTGGCTATAGGGCCTTGGAGGAGTGAGCTGAGTCGCCTTTACAACATGCAAAAAGTGGTTATTTACTTTGCCTTCTTGTTTACAGTTTCACACACTTATTGAAAATTATCAAGGCCTGGAAATGCTTTTGCTTATGTAAAATTTTCATAAAATTATATAACTCCTGCTGGAAAGGCTTCTGGAGGTTATCTGGTCCAAAGCAGCATCCAGAACATGGTCAAGACCTGAAGTTACACTGTGTTGCTCATGCCTTGTCCAAGGTATTGTGGAGGTCTGCAAGGATGAACATTCCACAACATCTCTGGATGACCAGTTCTAGTGTTGGACCACTAGTGGTTTCTGGAAAACTATCACAAAGTTTCTACATGCCTAATGGAATTCAAACACTTGGCACTGATATTGTTGCAGATGAAGCAGAAATCTTCCTCCCAGTAGCAAAAATTACCAGTTTCCAGCTTTTGTCATCACAGGACTCCCTCCCAGCCCCATTAGCACTGACTCTCCCTGCTCCTCCTTACTTGGTAACAAATCCTCCAACACAGCACACCTCCTGCAGACAAGACCACTACCTCTACAGCCTGGCTAGAGCTCTGGAGCTAGCTCTGAGTCAAGGTCTCTGATGTACCAGGAGAGCTGCTTCCAGATGGTGCTAGCAACTGTGCCAGGTGGTGCATCACCAGCACTGCTGAGCACAACCCCATCCTCAGAAGAGTTTCCAACTGCCTTCTGTATCATCTGCTGTGCAATCTGCTCTGTCTGCTGGCTGTCTCTGGCAGCAGTGCCCTGGGCCCTGCAATTACATGTGCTCTTCCCCAGTATCTGCTAAGACGGTGCTTGACCCTCTCTAATCAGGAGATGACTGGAAGGAAAGCCCAATGCTGGTTTTGACCAGGAGTAGCTGACAGAGCTTACTGGCAGTTGCCAGAGCTTGCAAGAAGCCACAGCCTCCTGTAGTTCTCTCTTCCCTGCAGCAACAGGTACTCTCAAGTTCTTTGAAGAGTTCCAGGAATCTTCCCACCTTCCCAGAAGATGTAGAACTGGACATGGCTGCATGTGTTGTCTGCTGCTTAGCACATGACAAGCTGTGTAATGCAAAAGCAGTAGGCACCTTGATGGCATGTCCCACCTCATTACTTCATAATCCTCTTTAAATAGAAAGAAATGAGGTAGTGCTATTAGCAACTACCTAGATTTAGGGTAAATACAATATCCATCAGAAGTTCCTGCTTCCTGTTGAGTTACTAGACCTACCTTTCTCTCCATTGCATGCAAAGGAGGAAAGCACATGAACTTAATCCACTTTATAAACTCAAATCCCACAACAGGCCTTCTCTTTTTCCCTCTCCCCTCCCCACCTTTTCTTTTAAAGAGTGTTTAGGGAGCTATTTATGTGATAATAAGGAAAAATGATATTCAGCCTGTGGCTCTAGAGCCTCATGCAGCTCTTTGGCATTGCCAGAATGATTAGGCTTTTACATGGTTTTGATTAAATTTTTCTTGCTCTCCTTGGCCTCAAGCAGAGTTGTAACAGAGCACTGATAATATGAGCATTGCCAGCAAAGTGCAAAGGAACACCTGAAATCCTCAGAAAATGAACTAAATCTTTGAGGCTATTGGCTTCTCTACAACAAGAAGCACATCAAAGGAAACAACATCCTCTTCAGTGGTGAGGACAGAGACTGCATTAACAAAACTCTCAAAAGTAAGCATAGTATTACAGTCTGAAAATACAGAGTGACAATTAAACTAAGTTTTAATAATGAATGAGTCTCCATTCTGAAGATGTACACTCATGTAAAGAACAAGCCCACGCAAAAGTAAAATGATGTATCTGCCACTGATCATTAACAAACCTTCCCAGTATACTACATATGAGTTACTAGAAAAGGCCGAAAGCATTAGTAATCTTAGGAATATTTATATAACATTTAGGGACTATTCTGCAATAATGTATCAGCACAATATTTTCCATCATAAGACCATCTACAAATCAGCTCTACACTCCTCAGTCTCCTGTCACAGTTCAGCCACAGAACCGAAACAGTCAGGATTTTGAACAGTAATGCCTCACACAAGGACTCATTAGGTCTCTAAAAGATTTTAATTATCTTCATTTAGAAAATATGCATATTCCTGCATTCTGCATGGCAGCTACAAATACTAGGATTTTCCTTTGAGAAAATTCTTATGTAAAACAGATTTTCAGGTGATAGTGGCACACTCCTCAGAATATAAGCTGACCAACACAGCTAAATGACAGAAGATTGTTAGAAGACAACAAAAGGCATGTGAAAGGATACATTCAGTTGGAAGGAAACAAAGTGTGGTAACAGATAACACACAATCAGTCACATATAACCTATGTGCTCATTTGTCAAAAACAAGCTAATTTTCATCTGGCTCTTTTGGACATTTCAGATTCTTAAAAAGATCCTTCAAATATGAGGTCTGGAAAGCAGGTTCCCTTTATTCCATCTAAGTTCACAGCATCAGAAATCTACTTTTTAGCTAATGCCACTAGAACAGTTAACCTGAAAAAGGATATTTGCTATATGAATGTGACCTTGGATGTCAAGTTTCAGCAATGAGTAAATATTTACAACTACTTATAAACCCCTAAAAATAGGGGTTCATAACAGAAATGCTGACAGACCTCAACTAAGTTGGTGTGATTGGGCGCCACTATAATTAAATAAATCACCAAGGTCTGCTGACAATTAGAAAACTCATTTTGGTTTGCCACAGAGACAAACAAAAATTCTGTTCATTATAATTTTACTGGAATATGATGTCATAACATGTAAGCATACTGAAACAATCTGCTGCTTTTCTAGCCAAAATATTAATTGCATACTAAGGAGCCCTTGGGGCCTCTTCCTTTTTGGCCATCAAATCCACACACACAAAGACAAATAAAGTATTAGTACATACGTTATGCGTTCATACTGCATTTCCTGCATTTCTCTGGATTCCTCAATGGCATAAATGTTTTTGATAAATATTGTTACTTTCTTCTTAGAAAGAGAGAAAAAGCAAGTGCAAGATGCAGCTCACAGAAACCAGGAAGTTAATTTAGATTTAGCCTCGTGTTAAAAAGTCAGTGAAGTTTTCTCTAAATTCTAATGGTCAACATATTCTTCAACTAAGTAAAAAAGAACAAATAAACCCAATTACTACACAAGTATTATAGGAAGTCTTACCCGATTCACATTCCATAATGCAAAGTGAAGAGGAACTAGGACCATATTTTAGTGGCCAAGATAAAGGCCACTAACATATGAGCTACAACTCAGTATGGGAGTCATTCTTCAGATGCCAGCTCTGCTGAAAGGGTCATTCTGTGCACTTTTTCTATCTGGCTCCTTTCCCATATGAAGTCAATCAAGCTGGCAGCCCTGCTGGCACTGTTTAATCACCAAAATGCCATGAGTTTTGTGAGTGGAGGGATAGATAGCTACGGACCATGCAGGGGAGTAGGAAACAGCATTTGCTGTGAACAACTTTTTTCTCCATAACATTTGAAATTTCTCTAGGGGAGCAAGTTGCTTAGTGCAGCTGTTCCCTGGTTATATCCTATTTTCCTAAGCAGTCCATTAGCCACGTGCATTTCTTACAGATGTGAGTTCTGTTTTGAAGAAGGAAACATCCAGTATAGTCACTTTTGTCTTCACACAGTGAACCTTCTGGTTCTTTCAGCAGATCCACTACAACACCTGGGAACAAAGAGGCTCTCTTTTCCAAGTACTCCTTTAGAGAACTACAGTCCATTATTCTTGAACTGTGTCTACTACAGGCTAGGCTGCCTGATCAAGTGGAGCCTATAGATGAAGCCTTGTTGCTCCAGTTCCAGGAAGGATTTTGCTCACAGGCTCTTGTCCTGCTAAGGGACTTCAACCACCCTGACATCTGCTGGGAAAGTAGAAGGATGAGCTGCAGGCAATCCAGGAGACTCCTGGAATGCATGAAGAATAACTTTTTAACCAGCCTGACTAAACAGAGAACTTAGGGTGAAAAAGAGAATATATCACCTCTAGAAGAAATTTCTGGTAACTTGGGAGGTCTATAAGGGCACTGCAAGGTCATGTAGGGAGAAAATTAGAAGGGCCAAAGCCCAATTAGAATTTGATTTAGCCGCTATAGTTTAAGACAACAAAAAAGTTTCTATAAG